AACATGTTACCAGCTCTTCACTTCCTGGGCTGTCAGTAAATTTAAAGGGTGAAGAGGGGCTCTGGTACAGCTCTTAGTACCCTTTGACTGACATTCTTAAGATCCAAAGGATGGTTTACACAACACTGGCTGCATCTCCTTTCCTAAGCCATATGCATTGTCACAGGTGGCTCCAGGTCAAGGAATTGCCTTTTATGTAGCTTTAGGTGAAGTACAATATCAGTGACACACGGCATACTCTCCCCATGACTGTGACATGTTTGATTTTCTCTCTGAGAATGACTTTACGTCACCCTGATCAGCCTCTCACTAGTCAGTCATCTTTCCTCAAACTCAAGTACATGAATAACATCTTTCTTCATGGGAGTGTTTGTTTTTGGTGCCTGAGGGCTCACCTGGGGATCCCTAGTACCTATCATCAGTCTGACCTGTCAATAGTTGATCCCACCTTTGCTAACATCATGATGACTGTAGTGTATTCTGCTGAAGTCTTTGGGGAAATTTTCATCATTATCTATGGGACTTACTTTTGTTCTGACAGGACACCCAGAATTCTCCCACCATCTCCACACATTGTAATAGCCCTGTGGATAGTACTCAGTGTGAATATTCACTACAGGAGACTGGTCTTTCCTCCCCATCATCCTAACCTAATTTCCTAGCAATCTTTATTTCTGATCTTATTGATTAGAGCTCTTAAAGAAGGGAAGTGGCATCCTGGGTTGTTTCTGGAAACTGTGTCATCAAATCCCTACAGATAAGTAGTGAAAAGGTTCTGATGAGGCAGAGAGAGATCTCTGGGTTTGTAAGGAGGAGGTGCTGAAGGGCATAACCTGTGTCTCTGGGAAGGCTCCTAAAACGGTAACTACTGGTTAATTGGGGAATAGCTAGTTAGCAGGTAGATGAGTACTGTTGGCGCTGACCCTACCTAACAGTACCTTCCCTGAACATTCTACTGTACCCTGGAGAGCTCTGAGCATCGTCTTTGATGTAACCACTGTTGAGGCAACACCAACTGTCATTTCGGGCATTTGCACAGTGCCTCTGGGGTTCACAGAGACATGTTGGTGAGACTGAGAAAGCTACTTGGGAGAGAGAATGGACAGCCCAGAGAAGAGAGAGCGGCAGAAGGAAGCTGGCCATCTGTCTTAGGGTAAAACATCAAGAAATAAATGTTCCAGGTGAAGGTGCAGTGAGTTTTGTGCAGGGGATAGAGGAGGTAGGCCTTGAGCTGGGCCTTCCAGGAATGGGGCTCACCAGCTGTAGACTTTGGGAAACAATGGGTCTGCCTGCTTCTCTAGGTTTGTAAATAGGAGGCATAGAGTGGAGGATTTCTGAGGGTTAGTTTGGCAGAGATCCAGTAATTATCAATCTGCAACTACTGGGCTGAGAGTGCTCTAATTTTATTATTGCTGGGAGTAGAGTCCGGGAAGCAAGAGGCCCGGGATGACAGATAAAAGACCCATATCAGGATAGGGTGTGGCTGAACTTCACCGTCCATTAATTACTTTAGTTTCCATGGATATTGATTCTAATAATAGGTATATTAACTCCCTTGGGTATTCACCAAGGTCTTGACTGTCCTGTAGTCGGGACAAATCTCTCCTACTTATATCCCCCAAGAAAAAACACACAGAAGCTTATATTAATTAAAACTACTTAGTTATTAGCTCAGGCCTACCACTGACTACCTCTTACGTTTAAACTCAGCCCATTTCTATTAATTTATATGTTGTCACATGTTCCA